GTAACTATATATTTTCTTTTGTTTTGTTTTACATATATATATATATACTCTCTACCCATTGTAAATGGGGAAATCTGGGTATATTGGTTTTGTTTAGTGTAGAAAAATAAGTACAACAAAAATGTTTAAAAAATTTGGAAAAAGTGCAAAAAGTTCAATTCCAAACTAAATTTGAAAATTTTGTTTCGCTTTTTTACACATATTTTTCGGATTTTTTTTTTAACAATAATTTTTTAAATATTGTTTTTATTTATTTTTTTTTTGTCAATTATTAATTTTATTTCGTTATGTATTATATATATATAAATCTTATGCCATTAAAAACAGTTTGATGTATTATTATTTGTATTAATAATAATAGAAGTATATGCGTTTTTTTTTTTTACGTTTTGCTACACATTTAATTAATTATTTATATACTAAATGGATATTTTATTTTTAATGCAAATGTTTCATGATTTTTTATACCAAATCGAAGACGTCCCAAGTTGTGATTGTTTAAATTTTACATATTTTTTCCTTTACCAACTTCTTTCTTTTAACTTGCTTTTAGGTACATTTACTTAATTCAAAAAATAAATCAAATAAAAAAAAACTTTTGTTGTTTGTTTTTAGAATATAAAATATTGCGCTTCGTTTAATTGTATATATATCTGGGTTTTTTTTTATTGTTGTCTGTGTATATATATATATATATATATATGTGTGTGTGTGTGTGTATCTTCCATAAGGGGGCGTCGTGACGCCTCTGTTTACTTGACTTCGGTACAAATTTCTCATCTTCATGCTTTGCAGTTACAAAAAATACATATTTCTGTTTCGCTCAGTGTAAACGACTCTCTCTCTCTCTCTCTCTCTTTCTCGTTCTCGCCGTGTTTGTGTGCGTGTATTTGTACATATATGTATGCATGTATTTATCTAAAAATTTCTTGTTACGCTTTTGTTTTTTTTTTAATTTAGTATTTAACATTTATTTTTTATTGCTGCAAAATTTGGCATCCAAGCCTTTTCTTTTTTTTTTTTTTTTTGTTAGGTTTTTACCGAGGCTTGGTTTACACTTAAAAAATAGTTTGGTTTGTTTATGTTTCTTAAGAGAATTACAATTGTTTCTTCTTCTTTTATAATATTTTTTTTATATATATATAGCTATATATATATATAATACAAAAAAATTTGTTCACTTGTGTGTGCGCAGTCGTTGAGATTTCTTCTTGTTGTTTTTTTTTTGTTTAGCTTTTGTTTTAGTTTTTGTTGTTTTTGTGTTTGTATTGGTGCTAAATATGTTCGTCGTTTTGTTATATCCATTGGCTTTGCTTAAAGTTGTTTCCATTTGTGGGCTTTATTCGGGCGGGGTTCTGTATGTGTTTGTGTGTGTTGTTCTTGTATGTGTGTACAGTGGGGCCAAATAGAGTTTGGTTTCATATTTCATATTGTTTCTACTTGTTTTGTTTTAGTTGCATAGTATATAAAATAGATTTCATATACAAAATTAGTTTCTTTATATATATATTTTTATTATTTTTTTTTTTTCAAATAAAAAAAATTGATTTTGGTTTTATGATTTAAAAGGACAAAAATATGTTTAGAATTGTTGATGCCAGTGTTTAGCTCTCGCTCTCGCTCTCGCCTCTCTCTCTTGCTTCGACACTCCACTCCACTATCGCTCGCTCGCTCGCTCTCTCTCTCTCTTTCGTTCACGTCCTCTCCTACTCTTTCTCTCGCTGTTTTGTGGCAGGCAGTGCTTCAATATTTGTTAATATTTTTTTCTTCATACCTTTGCAGTCAGCATTTGGGATTTCTAGATAGTTTTTAGCACATTTAGATCATATATGAAAATAGGACTGTTGTTTTTTCAGCTTTGGGATTATTGCTTTTAGTACACCTATATAACAATTTTAGATCATATATGGAAATTCGACTGCTGTGCTTTCTTTTTAGCAGCTTTTAGGATTTTTGTTAGTTTTAGTACACGTTTAGATCATGTATGCAAATTGAGCTGTTTTATGTTCCTTTAGTATTCGTTCTAGCAATTTGACTAAGATTTATATAGCATATGTATAGGGTAGATAGCACTTTATTCTATATATTCACATCGTCTGCATTTAGATCCGCAAATCTGCTGAATGAAACATATATACATATCTATATACATACATATATATGAACTAATATTCTAATATGTTAAAAACACTCCGCTAGCTTCAGCTGCAATGGCATTTGACACTTCGACGTGGCCGAAGCCTAATTTTTTGGCTTTAATTTTTGTTTTTTAATTTTTTTTTAGTCTACATCAATTACTAAATATTTAAATTGTTGTTGCTTTCATTTCATTCTTTTTTAAACACCTTTGTACATTTCCTTTACACATAAATGTTTATCCAACTGGCAGACGTTTTGTTTTCATTCTGTTTCGCTTGCTTTCGCTTTAACAACCCGTTCAATGCATATCAAAGAAGAAACGAAGAAAAGAAAAGGCAATAAAAAAGTGCGGAAGACATAAGTGTGTGTGTTTGTATGTGTGCGCGTGTGTGTGTGAGCATAAACTGGGCTTGAAAAGCTGCAAGAACAAGCCGATAAATGCGCTTCAAAATAAATTTGGTGTGACTTATATACATACATATATATATATATATATATATATATATGTATGTGTGTGTGTGTATGTTCTGGCAAATGCAACAATATTAACGTTAGGCATAACAAAGAAAAGAAAAACAAACAAGCAAACAGTTGCAGTGCTGCAAAACGTTTACGAATAGCGCTGCAAAAGCATAAAGCAAGAAATAATATATATGTATATACATATCGTAGAACATTTCATGTAAGTGTATGCATGTGTGTGTTGAACTATTTGGCTACATAATATTTATTGATATATATATATATATATTTATTTGTTTAAGTTTAGATATATTTGCTTTAATTGTTTCTTTTTTTTCAGGCATGTCCCTACAAAAAAAAAATAATTGTAAATTAAAACTTGCATATTTTTTTTTTTTTTTTTAACAACTATTTGTTGTTATTTGTTAACATTAAATGCTTTGAATAAATTTTTGTTAGTTTCAATTTGCGCTAAAAAACTTGTTTTCAACTTTTTTTTTTTATTTCTTATTTTTATTTTAATATATATATTTTCGTATTTGTTATTAAATTTTACAACGTGTTTGTTGCGTACGTTGCTGGCCATGTATATATATACATATGTTTCATTCCAGATATATATATATATAGTATTTTTACATGCTTCAAAGGGAAAATACAAACAAAAGCAAGGGATATTGGCAAAAAACAAAAGATAAACTTGTTAATTCAATAAAAAAAAAATGTTTCATTAAATGCAAAAAATAAGTTTTGTATATATTTCTATATATATATGTATTATATATGTTAAGATCATGAACGTAGCTATAAATATTATATAAGCTATATATGTTTAGAGGTGTATGTGTGTGTGTGTGTATGTATGTGTGTTTTTGTGTACATAAAGCATGCTCTTGAGCTTAGGACTATGAAAAAAATAAGCGCTTAAATATAAATCGCTCTCTCTCCCTATATATATATATTATATTATATTAGACATATAAGTAGCATATATATGTGTATGCATGTATGTATGTGTGTGCGTGTGTGTGTGTTTAATTAAAATTTAGAACTTAATCGCTAATTAAGGAAACCACAATAATTTCAATTTAAGTTTTTAAAGCACAAAACAAAAAACTTGCTAGTTTTCATACTCTTCTTCTTCTAGTTCAAGGACAATAATACAAATCAAAAGTTGTGTGTGTGTGTGAGGGAGGGGGACATGTGTAGCAGTGGGCGTGGCATTAATTTCTTTGAAGAATTGCACATTCGCATTGGGGGATGGTGGGGGTGGTGGATTGAATTATATCTTTTTTGTCACATGGAGTGAGAGAGAAATATGAACAAAATACTGACAAGATTTGATAAACGGTAAAAAAAAAAAAACATTTAATGAGAATTCTTAGTTTTTTAAATCTTAAGTTAAATTTGGTTTCGGAAAAAAATACTGAATGAAAAAAAAAAAACAAGAGAAAACATTAGGGATATGCACGCCTAGCAATAGCTGAAATGAAAATGTTTGTATATATAGATTTAAATAGAATTTCGAATGAAAGCGGAAAATTCAACTGTAAACGAGATCAAAGGCAAACCGAATATTGTAAGGCGTGCAGAAACACATATAGTAAGAGAGCGCAATACAATGTTAGGCAGAGAGAGGGACACACATATATAGAGAGAGTGAGAGAGATAGAGATAGAGATAGACTAGAAGCAAATTTCAACGCAATTTCTAAACGAACTGCACACCAAAACACAGAGAGACGGAGATAGATAGAGACAGAGCAAGACAGACAGACACGGTTCGTGTAATTTGATTGTGTGTGTGTGTGTGTGAAAGAGACAGTTAGCTATATATACTCGTACATCGTATAGCAGAGCATATGCTGCTTTATCCATATTTCTTTTCATTTTTTTTTTTTTGTTTTAGTTTTAGTTTTTTTTGTTTTTGTTTTTTTTTTTCCTTTTTCAATTATATAGAAACAACTACAAAATACAGTTACAAATACGTTTTACACATTGATTTAGTTTAAGATCACGTTAAGATCACGAGCGCGACAGAGATAGCAAATATATATATATACATATATATTTATATATATATATATATATATATATATATATATATATATATATATATATATATATATACATATATATATATATGTTATGTATATAGGTGTATACAGGAAGAAAAAAACATAATCTCTCTCTAAATACATATACATATCTATAGATATATATATATTCGTTAAGGATAAATGGGCAGATACATATATATACATACATACACAGATATCTATATATATATATATATATACGTATATGTATGCAAGCACACAAACATGTAAGGTGTATGTGTATGTGTGTGTGTGTGTGTGTATGTGCGTCAATATTTCGAATTTTATTGTTGCTGCTGCAGCTGCTGCAGCTGCTGCTCCTCCTGCTCCACATCTTCCTTCTCTTTCTATTCCGGCTTCTGCCTCTCCTCCTCTTATTGCCCTATCAGGATCAGCTGCACGACATGGCCACATCGTGAACTCGCCTCAACCACTGCCATTCCCTGCTCCACATTCGCTCCTCCCGATTGGCTTCCACTCAATTGTATATAAAGTTGGCCGCATCGCAGAGGGCATCACTGTCATCGTCGAACTTGCCGTTCATCGCATAGCTGCTCGTGCCGCTGCCATAGACCCACTCCTTCTTGATGAAGTCGCCGTCGGTCGTCGAGGACGACGTATTGTGCAGGCCGCCCAGCGAGCTGTGATCCAGCCGAAAGTCATCGTCGTCGTCCGGATAGAGCTGCACGGGTATGCTGTCGGGTATGGAGTGCGGTTCGAACAGATTGCCATATGGCGGCAGCGAATGACTCAGGTCCACATGATGGTCGACCAAATCATTCTCGAAATTCGATATGCGAAACTTGGAACTGGGCGGCGATTGGGGCGAGTGCGGTGCGGCGGAATCTTCGAACATCACTTCCTCTTTGATGAACATATCGTTGGAATTATCGCCAGAGCCGGATGAATAGAGATTCGGTTCCACTTTGATAATGGCCGCTGTGGCCAAGGACGGTGAGGATTTCTCATCATCATCATCATCATCAAAATGATTGTGATGCTGATGGTTATGATGATGTTGCTGCTGTTGTTGCTGCTGCTGCTGCTGTTGTTGCTGATGATGCGGCTGTTGGTGATTATGATGTTGGTGGTTGTGATTATGATTGTGATTTAGCTGCTGCTGTTGTTGCTGTTGTTGTTGTTGTTGTTGCTGATGATGATGATGATGTCCATTGGTGGCTGTGCGCAACTGCACGCTCGTCTCATCCTCCTCATTATTATCATCATCATCATCATCATCGTCCATATCCGCCAGATGACGACGTCGGTGGTGGTTTCGGTGGTTATTACGCGGCTGTTGCTGTCCAGCTACAACACGCACATTGCTGCTGCTGCTACAATTGCTCGTTGCCTGCTGCTGCTGTTGCTGTTGCTGCTGTTGTTGCTGTTGCTGCTGTTGATGATTGCGCGTGCTGCGTATTATTGTGGAGCCGCCCAGTGCCGCAGATGAGGCTATAGACAGGGGCACCCCCGTCGCCTTGGACACCAGCACGGTGGAGGAACACGATGTGGATGAAGATGACGGCGATTGCGCCGGCGAACCAACTGAAAGCAGAACAAAAGCAGCCATTAGTCAAGCGACAACTATGCAAATAGTAACTAGCGATAGTCATATATGCTAACTATGATCGTAAACGTCATATAGCTCAGGATCTTTATGAGCTAAATGCGAAAAGTTTAGTTGGCTTTTGCTCGTATATCAAATGTTAACAAGAATAAACTTGTATAGCTTAAACGTAATATGGAGTTATTTTAAAGGCAGAATTAACAGTAAATATTTTTGAGCTGTGAATCTTAGAAGAGTTTTCAATTAGCTAATTTTTGAATTCATACATAGCTATAGATAATATAGTTATAGATAATTATGTTATATCTGGCGCCTGGAACATTATATATCTCAGGATGCACTAGACTGGATGAACCGAGGCGCCGTGGCACAAGTAAGTGAGCTGTACATATTTTCCAAGAAATTACATAATTTATCTACCAAGTTAGCAATATATAATATATAATATATAATATGCAATATAGTACATTATATATAATATAAGTACTCCCAAGTAATACATTTTGACCAACAATGATATTCCCTAGGTACAAACAAAGTCTCGAAACACGATACGAAATTGATACAAATCTTAAAATATTCTATATATACGTCTCAATGGAGTAGATTATGGAGATTAGTAATAATTCACTAGAATAGAATAGATTATTATGGACATTATAAATTCTAGCTCTATAATCGGAAAATAGACTGTGATTTATATGAAACAGATGAATTTACTCAATATTGTCAATTATTAATGATAAATGAGATTAACTATATTATATACATTAAAATAAAATATAAATATCAAATACAGTAGAATCCCGATAATGCGAAATGGCAAGGGGATCAGATTTTTTTTTCGATTTACAGAGAAATTCAAATTATCGAGAGCGATTTTCTTTCAAGGGGATCGATTTTTTTTTCTGAATTTATCGCGATTTTCGATTTAGCGGGATACGAGTTATCGAGACTCGAAATAGAAATATATAATATAAAATATTGTACATTCCTTTAAATCAACAAATATAATTGCTGTAAATATTATTCTCAAATATCTAAATCTATTTTCTACTAGAAATAGATTTCAAACAAATAATAATTACAAAACAAATACAAGCTTCTCTCCCACATTTTGTATAACAGTTTTGCTTTTTCCTCGCTATATTAGATATATACATCTTTATATTTGTTACTGCTTTCATTTTCACGTTCCATTCGTGGTCGTTTCATGCCATTTATTGCATTTTCTACTCTCTACTTTTTGCTCGTTTTCTCGGTGCATCATTCACACTATTTTCAGAGACTCTTATATATTTAAAATTGGAGTTCTCAAGATAAATGTTTCTGCAAAATATATTTCGATTCTTATCCTTTCCTTTTACTTTTACTCGTTAATCTTTACATTTGGTGCGAGATATTTTGCCCTTTGCTACATTTCACTTCTATTTTGGATTTTTATGCAAATTCAACTCAACTCGTAAATTTAAATGACAAATGAAATGCTATAACTCCCATGTTGTTCCTCGAAATTACAGTTACAGTTAATTACAGCTTACTGCCTGTACATTATTTCGCATTATTCAGTTGAGTTTATATGGATAGACCGCCTCATTATCGCTCCTCTTTATGCCGTCTCTCTGCCTCCTTTCTCCCATTCAATTATCCTTTAGTGCTGCTAGATTTGCCTTCCGTTTATTCGCTATTCGTTACTTACCGCCCGTTTGCTGCACCACGCTGGCCAGCGCTGAGCTGAGCGTGCCCGTCGAATGGATGATCGGCGTTTTGCGCAACAGTTGCTGTGCCAGATTGCTGGCGGCAGTTGCAACATTGCCGCTGCCACCGACGCCGCCGCTGCTGGCTGTGCTGCTGCTGCCGTTGTTGTTGCTACTGTTGCTGCTGCTGCTGCTGCTGTTGCCATTGCTGTTCGCATGGCTGTTGCTGTTGGCATTGCTGGTGGCGTTGATGATGTGATGGCCGTTGCTGGTGCCTGCACCGCTCTGTATGACCTGTGTGTGCAGCACGCTCGAGCAGCTGCCATTGCCGGTTGAATTATCCGACTGTTGTTGTTGCTGCTGCTGTTGCTGTTGCTGCTGTTGCATATAGTTTTTAATGACAATGGTGCGCGTGGGTGTGGATACAATATATTGCTGTTGTTGATGTTGCTGCTGCTGCTGCTGCTGCTGTTGTTGTTGTTGCTGCTGCTGTGAGTGCGTTGAGCTGGCTGAGGAGTGCGGCTGCTGTAGCGAGGCATTCGATGAGGACTCATTGGAGGAGTCCTCGCCGGTGGTTAAACGATTATTGGTCAAATTGTGAACAGCGCTCTCCGTCTCCTCATCGCTCAGCCCGGACTGATCGTCCAGGTCCATTTCGTGCTGTTGCTGTTGCAGATGATGTTGCTGCTGCTGCTGCTGCAGACTGCTGCTGGCCTGCTCCAGTTCGGGTTCCAGCTTAACATTGGCTGTTGCTGCTGTCACAGCATTGTTATTAATATTGTTATTGTTGTTGTTGCTGCCCCCGCCGCCGCCGCCGCCACCGCTGCTGCTGCTGCTGCTGGCAGCGCCGCCTTTGGGCTGATCACGCAAATGCACCTGCATATGCGTCTGCAGCGACGATTGCGTATGCAGCTTCTTCTTGCACACCTTGCACTCAAAGGGAAAGTCGCCCGTGTGCGTGCGTGCATGAATTTTCAGATTGTAGCGCTGGCCAAAGCCCTTGCCACACACGTCGCATCTGCAACAAAATGGGAGAGAGACAGAGAGAGAGAGAGAGAGATGGTTAAAAGGTTATTATATAATTATAATTGTGCATCCACTTACTTGTGCAGCTTGACGCCCGAGTGGAGCTTCGAATGGCCGCGCAGCGAGGCCAACGCGCTAAACACCTTGCCACAAATCTCACAGGTGAGATTTACGTTCTCATTGTGGATCTTCTTGTGGACCTTAAAGTACTCAAAGCTCATGAACTCCTTGTGGCACACCTCGCACTTGTATTTGTGCCGCTCCGACTGCTGGCCCGTATGCACGCGCATATGCTTTATGAAGTTGGGACGAAAGCGTACAACACGGCCGCAGATTTGGCACTCGTAGGGCTTGCAGCGTAAACAGTGCTTCTCATAGTTCTTCAGCGATTTCAGTACCATGTTGCAGATGGCGCACTTCATGTTGTTGGCATGCCCGCTGCGATGGATGTCGAAGAGCTCCTTCGAATCGAACTTTTCCACACATTCCATGCACTGATAGCTGGTCGTTGATGTTGCCACATTGCTAGTGGCAGGCGCTGGCTTGATGGACTGATGTTGTTGCTGTTGTTGTTGTTGTTGCTGCTGCTGTTGTTGCTGTTGTTGTTGCTGCTGTTGCTGCTGCTGTTGCTGCTGCTGTTGTTGCTGCTGTTGTTGTTGTTGTTGTGCTAGTGCCATCGCCGCCAACTGTTGCTCGTTGCTGGGCGACGACGCTGCAGCTGCCGTAACATTTGCCGTTGGCTGTGGCGCCGCCTGCGTTGCCTGCGCCGTTTGCAGTATGAGCTGTGCGGTGGGTCCGCCCGTCTGCTGCACCACATTGAGCACCGTCATCGGACTGCGACTGATGACAGCAGCTGCCGGCATTCGCACATAGGTGGCGCCCGTCAGGCTGCTCATTGTCGCATTGCTGATGTAGACGGGACGCCGCTGCAGCTGCACCAGCGCCGCCTCCGACACCGGTACTGCCAATGCGCGCGTCGTGGTGCTCACAATGCTGCCCGCTGGCAGCACCAGCTGCTGGGCCGTTGTTGAGTACTCCAATTGCTGCTGCAGTGACTGTCGATGGAGAGACGCAAAGCACAGATGTCGATTAGTTCACAATTATCGAATAGTTAAATGACAAAATCCAGGCTAATTACTTTCAATTACTTGAGTCATTGCGAACCAGTTGAATCATTAGCAGTTTAGCATTATCATAACGTAATTCTCAAACATTTGCTGATTCATCAGCTTAATTAAATTGCCTAAACTGAACCTAATTCTTAATTACTTTTGTAATTACTTATTGTGACAACTAGTTGAGTAAATATTCTCTTTGAATATTCAATGGAAATAATATTAAAATTTGTAGTAGAAAATAGAATTGCCTAGCCTAATTAGTTTTCAATTTTATAGCATAATAGAATAGAAAATGAGTTAATAATGAAAAAAGTAACTTGACAATTGTTAATCACTTTTAACTTTTAAAATTTAGTTATAGCATAGTTATACCAACTAAATAAACAATTGATTCAGCAATTGAAATAATAATTGTCAACTGCATGAATCATAAATTGCTTCGTTTCATTGTTTTTAAGCTATTTACTACAACAATTAGATGAGTCTAGCCGAATTCCTTAACTACGCCTAAACCTTTTCCTATGAATCAGTTGAGAGTTTTACATTTTGTCATATTCCGTAAAATTAGTCAAAATGAAGAACAAAAAAAAAAACAGCTGATCTCGAACTCCGCGTGCATTAACATTCCAATTGACTATCGTAACTCATTTAACTAAATTCAACATTTTAATTGCTTAGACTAAGTGTACATTGAGTGAGTAAAAGAAAAGCTGTTTTTAGTTTGGGCATACGAAATCATAATATACTTTCCCGGAGAAGTATGATGTATAGGTAGCCCTACGCATTCAATTAATTAATCAGCTGTGCTAATTTTGTTGCCCTACTTTTAATTCTAATTACTCAAGTAATTGCAATTCCATCAATCAAACGTCATTATTTCTCAGAAATATTTCAAATAACTTTCCCTATTTATTTTGAATTTCTCAAATTTCTTAAGTTTCCTTCTCCTTTCAATTCTAATTACTCAAGTAATTATAATAATTAAACCATTTCCATGATTTTTACCTCAATTTGTTGTTGTTGCTGCTGCTGCTGCTGCTGCTGCTGCGCTGGCTGCTGCTGTTGCATTTGCTCATCCTCATCCTCATCCTCCTCCTCCTCATCTTCGTCGGGCAGCTCGTCCAGCTCCAGCTTGACTTGCGTTTGCAAATGCTGTTGTTGTTGTTGTTGTTGATGCTGCTGCTGCTGCTGTTGTAGATGTTGCTGTTGTTGATGATGGTGCTGCTGCTGCTGCTGATGCAGATGATGTTGCTGCTGCTGCTGCTGATTATGAAGATGATGATGATGTTGGTGGTGATGTTGCTGCAAATGCGTCGCCGTTTCCGGCTCCTCATCAGCTTCGGCTGCCTGCGCCTCCTCTTCGATGTCCTGCAGATTCTCATCGTTAAGCTCTGGATCTTCCTCTTCCTCCTCCTCCTCATCCTCGGGCTCATCCTCGAGCTCTTGCTGCTCCTCCTTGATGTCACTGGCAGCCATCACGGAACCGGCGCCGTTGCCCGTCGATTGAATGATAATGCGACGGCCATTCAGCAGATGATGTTGCTGCTGCTGCTGCTGTTGTTGTTGTTGCTGCTGTGCACGATGCTGCTGTAGCAACAATTGCTGCTGATCCTCAACACTCAAACTGCTGTTGTTGTTGTGGCTATTTATATGATTGTTGCTGTTGTTGTTGTTGTTGCTGCTGTTGCTGCTGCTATTATGGTTGATGTAGGCGGAAGCGCTGTTTGTTGTTGTTGTCGTTATTGTTGCATTTGTTGTTGTCGGTGGGTGGTTGTCGAGCTTGGACGCAGCTGCCGCTGCCGCTGCTGCCGCCGTCGCTGCTGCTGCTGCCATATTGAGCTGCTGCTGCAGTTGCAGCTGCTGCTGCTCGTCATCCTGCTCCATGGGAGCATCTTGTAGTATAAATTCGATTTGTTGCGATAATGCGCTATCATTGATGGCAATCAGTCCGTCCATATCTTTGGCCGCGACGTTGACGGCGGCAGCGCAGCCGCTGCTATTATTATTGCTGCTGCTGCTGTTGTTGTTGCTGTTGCTGCCGGCAAAGAGTGAAGGCAGCGCAGTTGCGTTGCTGCTGACTGCATTTGTTGCGCTGCTGCTGCTGCTGGCCATGGCAACACCAACGCCACCAACAACAACAACAGCACAAACACCAACAACAACAACGCTGAAAGCTCAACTGCTCCTGCTGTTGTTGTTGCTATTTTCCTGCCTTCCTTTTGCTATTCCTTTCCTTTCTTATTCTCTGCCTTTCCGCAAGTTTTGCTGTCACTCGCTCTCTGGCTCGCTCCTTTTTGTGGTGCGTTCTTCGTGTGCGTTTAGCGTTGCTTGCCTTTTGCTTGAGTTTTTCTTTTTTTGTTTTAGTTATTGCACGTTACTTCGTTTTGTTTTTCTACTTCTACGGCTATTCTCTATTGCCTAACGGCTTTGCTGTTGCTTTTGTGTTTGCTTTTATTATTGTTATTATTATTCCCGTGTGTGTGCTTTTTGTGTTTTTGTTTTGCATACGATTTGTTCTTTCTTTTTTTGCTGCTCTCTTTTGTTGCACTCTTCTCTCGCTTTAGTTTGAAGCAATTGTTTCGCTTTGCTTTGCTTTGCTTCGCTTTTTGTGAACGTCGCCGCGTCGTTCGGTCATGCGTTGCTTTTTGCTGCTTTCCACGCGTTGGCGGCGTTGGCGGCTGCTGCTGCGACGCTGTGTGGCGCTTCTTCGACTGCTGCTGCGGCGGCTGCGGCTGCTAAGGCGCATTCGTTGGCTTTACACATTTTATTCATTTATTTGGTATTTCTCGATATTTTTATATTAATTTTTTTTCTTTTTATTATTATTTTTAGTTCTTGTTTCTTTTACTTGCATTCAAAAAAACAACAAAAAAAAGAACAACACATTGCATACGTTCCAACAACACCAGCAACAACTATAAGTAGAAGAAGAAGAGGAAGATGTGAGGTGGGACACTTAAAAGGCGTTGATTGTTATTGTTATTATTATTATTGATTTCCTTTTTGAATTGCCATTCATCAAATGCTCGTGCAGCTGTTTCGCCGTCTCTTCTAACTCGTGCAATTATTCCAAACATTCACATCTAAATATATATACACATACATATGTATATATGTGTGTTAATTCGTATATATAAGTATGCACATGTATATATATATATTCACTTTTTGTATTTGTATTTAATTAGTAAATGCGTTTTACAAAATACTTTAGGTCCCTTCCTGCCTGTTTGCCTGCCTCACTTGCACTCACACTCTCACTCTCGCCTCTTGTTCACACACACACACAAGCACACTCGCTGGCTGACTGGCACACTCACACGCACGGACGCACGCACGCACACAAACGCAAATACGCGCGCGTGAACAAAAACAACAAAAACTTAATTTTAGCTTTTCCACAAGTTTTTCACATTTGCTCCATTTTCATTGATTCCATGATTATTCTTCTTCTATCTTGCACACACCACACTCATTTTGACCTTTTTCCTGTCGCCTTTGCACGCTTTTCGCTGCTACAATTGCTGCTGCTTCCTCTTCTTTTGCCTTATTCTTTAGCTTTGCTTTCAGTTTTTGTGGCCTATTCCTTGTTCCCGTGTCGTTTTTCACACACCATAAAAACGTCAAACTTGAAAATTTTTTGGTTATTTTTGGGTATGGAAATTTTATATATATGTATATACAAATGTATATGTATAATTGTATATCTATATATATTTGTATATTTATATTTTTGTATTTTTTGCTTTTATTGGCTCTGCGTGATTTTGCTTTTGCGACGCGACGCGACAGCAAAAGATTAGCGGCTGCGCTGCTCTGCTGCCTCTGCCTCTGCTGCTGGTGCTGCTACTGCTGTCAATTTTCTTTGCTCCCCCGCGAGCATTCTTTTTTTTTTTTTTTTACCGCTGCTGCTGCTACTCATACAAAGAGAGCCGTTTTGGATCTTACGTTTTTTGTTGCTGTTCTTAATTTTTCGACCACACGCTTTCACACTCAGATTCGTGTGCTCGGCACACAGGGTTGCATACACGCACAGGCGGCAAACAACACTGGCAGTGTTGCCAAACGGACGACGGTCGCCGGCCGGTGTTGCGCAGCGCGCAATTTGCGCACAATTTTAAGCAGTCAACGAATTCACAGCACAGCAATTAAAATTCGATTTCAATTCTTTTTTTTTTTTTTTAATTAAATACAACATTTTATTTGTCTCACACAAGCGAAATAATTACTCAACAACAACAACAGCAAATTAAATTGCGTTGGCTTTTGTTCGCTTTGAGTGCCAGTTGTTTTTCGTTGGCTGCTTTGTGCTTCTTCTTGGGCTTACGATTCGCCTTTAGTCACACACACATTCACTCTCACACAAAGCGTACACCCAATTATAAAGGACAGGGCGCTTGGAGCTAAACTTTTGGCTGTGGCATAATAAGCGTCACAAGAGAGTGAGAGAGAAAGAGGAGTGAGTGAGCAATATAATGCGCATCAGAGTGACGAACTGAGCAATGTAGAACGGCAGGGTGAGAGAGAGAAAGAAAGAGAATGAAGGAAAGGCAAGTCAAGAGTGGAGCGCAGAGCCGTTTTATTTCGACAGTTTTTGAATTACGGCGCTGCTACTGCTGCTGCCGCCTGTTATTTTAGCTTAACACCCCAACAACAACAACAACTATAACATCACCTTCGTTCGACCGAGAGTCAATTTTCATGGTAGCTGTCGTCAGGGGGTGGTGGTTGGCGTTTTGGGTTGGTGGTGTGATGTTTCTATTGTTGTTGTTGCTGTTGCGCTCGTTAACCAGGAGCAGGGGCATTGGGGGTTGAATTTGGTGCCAGAAGGCGTCGCTAAATTCCATGCACACACACTCTCACGCAAGGAACTGAATTAACACAATATGAAAACAAAAGAGAAACCAAAATTGCGGTGCTCTGTGTTTACATATATATGTATGTAAGTAAGGCCAATAACTATAATGGTACCCTCTCAACTCCTCCCAGCCGCTCACTATCTCTCACACACACATACACACATTCGTGTTATGTTTATATTTTTTCGTCTAGCTTTTGCGCTTTTATTTTGGCTCTGTGCAGAAAATTTTCGCTGCGTTTTTAACTGCTTCGCACTCATACGCACACGCTTACACACTCACACATACACCCGCACGCGCGACTTTGACAAAACATTATTCCGCATTTGTTTTCGTTTTGTTGGTTTTCCGATTATTGGTTATTTGTACGCTTTAGCATAAGCATTAGCACTTACACTTGTCATCACATTTTTATCACTTATTCTAATTCGTTTTGGTTTTATTTAATTGAGTTTTGCAACAATTTACTGCATTAGTTTAATGCCTTACGCAGTTTGGCTTTACGTTGCGCATTCATGCGTTCGCGTTACTCATTTTAGTACTAGAATTGAGCATATTGCGCTGCACGCACGAATGCTTACTTACGTTACTCACTTGACGACATTTCGTTAAATGAGCATTAAACGAACTCAACGAAGCTGCGTTAACGTTAATTTGGAAGTTGATTTTTGAATTAATTTTTAAATTGTTATAAAAATGGATTAAAATGGATTTAGGGGTGACAATTTAGTTGTTCTTCTATGGAAACTAGTTACACTTAAGTTAAAAAAATTGTAACTTAACTTTTTGAAAATATTTTAAATATTATTTAATAAATTTTTAAAGATTTTTAGACTTTAAATTGTAAGAAAACAAGGTAATTTTCGCCAGTTATATAGTTTATTTCATATGTTTTTGTATAAACATATATATATATATATAAATATGTATACATATATATTTTTTGCTTTAGTTTTATAAAAAATCTTGCAATTTTTGCCTAAAACTATACAAAAAACTTAACATTTAATATTTGCCAGCAAAACGCTTTAAAATTGTTCAGTTTTATCAATATTATGTTATGTTATGATCTATTATGAAAGACTCAAAAGCAATATTTATGTTTTTTTTCTTGTATTATAAGAGCGTTATATATTGTTGTTGCTGATTTTTGCTTGGCAGTTGCAAGTTGCGCTTAATTTCATAAGAATAATATATATATATATATATATATATATATATATATATATATATATATATATATATATATATATATATGTATATATAGATGTATATATAGTTTTTTATAGAATTTTTTTGGGCCGTAACTTTTGTTTTCGTTTTTATATTTTACATGCTACATATTAAATGTAATTTAAAAGTAATAAAAAAAAATTTTTTTCTTTTTTTTTTTAAAGAAAAAATACAAAACTGTTGAAATATTGTTTATGCTTAAATATTTAAACAGTTTTTTTTTTTCTTTTTCAAATTTGAGTTGTGATCATTGATTAAGAGTTTCTTTCTTTTGCTTCTGTTTCTTCTTCTTCTTCTTATCGAGTGGGTGGAAATGATTTTTGAATAGATTGTCTTTATCTTGCTTTTGTTTTCTTCAGCTAATTGTCTTGATTTTTGCTAAATAATAGTAATTATGAATATAATCATCCTGAGGGTGTCTCTCTATCTCGCTCGCTCTCCTGCTCGTTTACTTGTTGCGATCGTTTTTCGCCGGCTCCACCTGCTTGGCAAATTCGCCCATCACCTCCTTATATATAACCGGATCCAGATTGCGACCCAGCATATATATTAGCCACCAATCGCCAATGTCCAAGCGGCGCGAGAGCGTGCGGCAGGTCTCCATGGGAATCATGCGATTGCGCGCATTCAATAGACGCGGCCGGAACTTGGGCATAAAGATGATGCAGGCACTGTAAATATATGGAGAATATATTTGTGAGCAAGTCTGTTTAAAATGCACTCTAATATTACTTAAATTTAAATTGTTGCAAGAAGGCTCTCAAAACATTTAACAGACAGTTTAACTCGCTGTTAACTAGCTCAACAACAGCACTGTAATATACAGCACTCTGTCTGTTAGCTAACAGCAGGCGCGCAACAGTGCCATGTTAAGCAAAACTTAACGAAACTGCACTGTCAGACAAGGAACCTGTACGTTCAGCGTGTTAACAGTGCAGCATAAAAGAGTTTCCAGTCTGTCTACCTTAGCTAGAGAGTTAACAGTGGAATCTATGCTAGCGAAAAACTGACTTAAAACATATTCTTTATATAGCGCAACAGTTTAGTTATTTGCCTGACTTGAGCTTGGACAACAATTAGAATGTATAAAGTTAGAAAACATTAGAGTTAGGGAAATAGATAGAATAGAATTTAGTAAAGAAGCACACTGATTTTGTAAGCAACATAAATTTTAACAGCAACTATAACAGAAGTCTAGTCTAACAGCACTTTAACAGCAGGCATAATAATATATACGTTATGTTAAAATGAAGACTAGCTTAATGTTCTATATGTTAAATAGTAACTAGGTATTTCTCAAACTAACACGAGCTTTATCAGCAACTAAAATAGTTTGTCTAACTAGCAGGAGCCTTAACAGTAACTAGCACTATGTATAACAGTTCATTTAGCTAACATAAGCTTGAGCAACAATCTTAGTTATACACGTTTATCTATCTATATATAACAATGTACCGGAATATCATCAGTCCAACGAGCAGTACGAGCAGTATCCAATACCAGAACCAGATGAACACATAGGTCTTCTCATTGACAATGTTCAGCGGCAATATGCATAGGGAATCGTGCGTCTGCAGCGATCCACCGGCACCGTATTTATGGAAAATGCATTTGGTGACGCGCGGAAAGACATAAACCATGGGATCCATACGCTGTTCCTGCGGCACATCCGATAATCCCATTATATTCGTGCCATACGATATGAACTCGCCGTCAAAGAAACGATTCATCAAATACATCTGAAGCACAATATTGATGAAGCAGAGCACCTCGCAGGCCCAATACCTTATGGCATACAGTTTATGACGCTGCAATCGATACAATGGATATCCAATATTATTACGTATTTCTGCATCCGAATTGGATTTGGGCATTCGTGCTCACCTTCACATGCTTGATGAGATAGTCGAGCAGGGCATCGCGCTTGGCCTCCTTCTCCTCGTTCGTGCAGATCGTGATGTTCAGACCCATGACAATCATGCGCATCAGACCGCCCTCGAATTTGTTCCACAAAAACTTTGGAGTATAGCAGGCCATGGCCTATAGAATTAAGGGGGAAAATAACAAAACACAATTAAATGAATATAGAAATTTCAATTTGAAAGGAAACGTAATATTAATACTATCAATTATCCCAGAAAAGAAAAGAAATTCATATACAGCAAATCAAATTATTGACAATCTCAATGAATACAATTCGAAACGTACATATATTAAAATATTTATAAATATAAAATTATTTTCCATTAATTAATTTTTTTGTTATGCACTTAAAAAGTTTTTTTTATACCCTGAACCCATTGAAAATGGGAAATCAGGGTATAATGGTTTTGTTAAAAGTATGTAACAGGCAGAAGGAGGCGTGGCAGACCCCACAAAGTATATATATTCTTGATCAGGGCGACGAGCTAAGTCGATTTGGCCCTGTCCGTCTGTCTGTCCGTCCGTCCGTCCGTCCGTCCGTCCGTATGTATGAACGCGTAGATTTCAGAAGATATAAGAGCTAGAGACTTGAAATTTTTTTTCCTAGGTCCGTGTATATCACGCGCATATCAAGTTTTTCTTTAAATATCGATAACTACTCCCGATATTTTATTATCGATCAAAAGCCTTATCGAATGCTAGTTATTTAATTATATCTCCTACACCTTTAGAGCTAGAGCTTCCAAATTTTAAATGTAGACTTATATATATTTTATATAATTTCGATTTTTGTTGTAATTTTCCCCCCTCCCTTATATCCACCCCCTCACCATCACCTTTGTAAAAGACGTATTTTAAATACTAGAGACTTGTGCTTTGGAATGTACATACATTTGAACATTATGATTATGTTCTGAAAGTTTCATTAAGATTGTACGTCTAGAAATTAACTTATTCAACAAAGAAATTCTTATAATGTTGCCCACACTACAGCCACTAACCAGAGAACACAGTTAGCAGAGCGCGTTCTAATACGTGCGTGTGTATGTATGTGTGCCGAAAAGAAGTGCAGAGTGAATATCAGATTAGAGGGTTTAGGGTATCTCCTAGTCGAGCAGTCTCGACTAGAGTCCTCTAACTTGTTTATACCCTGAACCCATTGAAAATGGGAAATCAGGGTATAATGGTTTTGTTAAAAGTATGTAACAGACAGAAGGAGGCGTGGCAGACCCCACAAAGTATATATATTCTTGATCAGGGCGACGAGCTAAGTCGATTTGGCCCTGTCCGTCTGTCTGTCCGTCCGTCCGTCCGTCCGTCCGTCCGTATGTATGAACGCGTCGATTTCAGAAGATATAAGCGCTAGAGACTTCAAATTTTTTTTTCTAGGTCCGTGTATATCACGCGCATATCAAGTTTTTCTTTTTATATCGATAACTACTCCCGATAATTTATTATCGATCAAAAACCTTATCGAAAGCTAGTTATTTAATTATACCTCCTACACCTTTAGAGCTAGAGCTTCCAAATTTTATATGTAGACTTATATGCATTTTATATAATTTCGATTTTTGTTGTAATTTACCCCCCACCCCTATATCCACCCCCTCACCCTCACCTTTGTAAAATACGTATTTCAAGTACTAGAGACTTGTGCTTTGGAATGTACATACATTTGAATATTATGATTATGTTCTGAAAGTTTCATTAAGATTGTACGTCTAGAAATTAAAATATTCAACAAATAAATCCTTATAATGTTGCCCACACTGCAGCGCAGTCGCTGCTCATTGCACAGTTAGCAGAGCGCTTTCTAATACGTGGATGTGAATGTACGTGTGCCGAAAAGAAGTGCAGAGTGATTAGAATATCGGATTAGAGGGTTCAGGGTATCTCCTAGTCGAGCAGTCTCGACTAGAGTCTTCTTACTTGTTTTTTTTTAAGTTTTCTTTAGAGAAGAAATTATAATAAATTCTTTGAAATACTTTTTCGAAAATTGTTGGAGTTGAAGTTAAGATCTTTTAGCTTAAACCAAAACGTTAAATGCGAGAATAAGAGAGGATATACATATGTATATAATAGTAATAAATCAATAGGACCACAGCCTTTGAATGAAGCTGAGACTGTATAAGACTGTATTTGCTTTAAAGAGCTTTAAGCTTGATTGAAAAGCTTTCTCCCTGTCTATTAGAGGCAGCTTTTACTGGTTCTAAGTCTCTCATCAGTGTTATGGCATATTTCATAAAAAGTTTTACACTCTTATAGTTAACACTAATTTGCAGCAAAGAGCTTTAAGCTTAATTGAAAAGTTTTTTCATTATCCATTGTAGTTAGCTTTTACTTATTCTAAGTTTCTCAATAAATTCGTGTTTAGCATCTGTGTTATATTTATTTGTTTCATAAACAGCTTTTGGCGTGATCTTAAAGCTGTTGGGTCTTTATACTCTATGTATAGAATAGAGAGTATTATTAGAGAGTCTAAACATAAACGACATAATAAGTTCAGCAGTCTTATATATGTATGTGTATATATAAGTTAACACAAATTTCCGTTAAACAGCTTTAAGCATAAATTCCAAATTCCTTTCAGTGTCCATTACAGGCAGTCTTTACTGTACTTGTTAGTTGAATGATTGTTAATCAACTACACGCAAGCATTAGCTAAGAGCTCTTATTTGTGGAGAGCTTCAACAGTTGCTGTTTGACTTTCCGCAGAAGTTAGATGCGTTCTTTCATAGTTGTTGTTGTTGCTGTTGTTGTTCTTCTGTCATTTGTTGTTGTTGTTGTTGTTGTTGCTGGGATTTAGCAAGTCATTAATCCATTGGAATTCAGTATTCTGGCATTTCGCAAGTGTTTGCTGCTGCTGTCTTTGGTGTTTAGCAACTGTTGTAGCTACTGTTGTTGTTGTTGTTGTTGAGCTGTTGTTGTTGTTGTTGCTGATTGTGTATTGCGTGTTGCGCAACAGGCGCGCAATCATACTTGATTGCGCGTGCTTGGCAATACAATGAACTGTGCGTGCCCCCCATCCCCCAATCAACGGTTTGGCATTAGCCGCTACCTCTCTCTCCCTCTCCTTCTCTCTCTCTCTCTCTCTACTTTTCACAAACACAGCCTCCCCCTCCGCCCCATAGATCGAAAGCCAACGCACGCATTCAATTAGGCTTCATTGAAGTACAGCTGTTGTGCGTGTCTTATAAATGTGTGTGTGTGTGTGTGTGTGTGCGTGCATGTGTGTGCTATGGCATCTGCGTAGCAATTGAGACCACGAGCACAGCGAGATGGAAATCGTCAAAACGTCAAACATAAACGGAGAGATATCTCTACTTTCGTATACCCTATTGTACAGACCAAAGCGGGGGGTTCGAGCTTGATGCGGGGGTGAAGGGGCTCGCTCATAAGCACACAATTGCAGAGATCTTTTGTATGGCTGTTGTGCTTACCTGGAAGAAGAGCACAAAGCACACCCACTGATAGTAGGTATAGTATTTCCGGGCATCCTTGTCATTGAAGTCGTTGGCAACGCCAGGATGTGCCACCTCACGGCCGACCTTGAAATGGAACATATGTAAAGAATTAGATATGGTATATACTCTATAATATAATAGCAGTAATGGCAGTATAACAGTTTTCCATGATTGTTGATCGGCATTATATATATTTTATAGCCAAAAGACCTATTATAACAGAAGTAAAACAATAGTATAACAGTTGTATAACAGTTCCATTTGTGATTATATAAAATGGTATAAGTATTATAAATATATTTAAACATTTTAGTTGATTTTAACATTAAGGCATATAATGTATAACAGTTATCATATCATATAACAGTTGAGAATGGGATATGGATTTTTAATACGAGTGACTCGACTATATATAAGTCGAACTTTAGTTTCTACAGCTTTACAGCTATTATATTGTACTTTAGTTTCTACAGCTTTACAACTATTATATTGTACTGTTATACTAAAGCTTGCTGATTTATGATATACAATTGGTGGACCACTTACTGTTAATGTGCCTTACTGCTATAATAAAGGTCGATTATTATGATTAATAACTGTCATAATGCTTACTGTTATACTACATGGTTGTGATAAAGTAGTATACAATTTTTGTATCTTTTGTTATAAAACTCACTTAAATGAAGTTAACGAATTGTGATATTTTTTTTATTATTTAGTAGCATTGTCTAGTAACAATAGTAGTATAACAGTTATAATATTAAATATAATATAGTATACAGTATATGTTATATGTTGTTGCTATATGAACAAAATTAAGTCTACAAAAAAAAAAAAAAAAAAACATTCTGCTAACTGGTATAACAGTTGCCTATATTACAGTTGTATGTTTAGCGAGGGAAGCTAAAGGCACTTCTTATTTAGATTTTCTCTAGAGATTGAGTCTTTACTGAAGCAGTCCAAACTCTCTGACTCTCTAATGATTTCCTTTTAGGCTATTAAGCCTCAACTTCTTCCTTTCTGCATTGACAAACTGCTTGAGAATTTTGATGTACTCTGCCTTAGGGACAAGGACATGTTGTTCGTCTGCGTTGAAGGTTCCACGAAATCACAAAACATTGCCCCTGTTGAAATATGAGATATGTGCATAAGCGAGGAGCTGGCCGCGGGATATTCAATTTTTGTGTCGTTGTTAATCGTTTTTTTTTTTCCTTGGTTTTGTATTTTGGTTTCATCTTCTTCTTCCTTTTTGGATCACACGAAGCGCAATTTGGAGCGACAACGCCCCGTTTATAATTGCTTTATAGCCGGAGCATATAAATATGCACATATTTATGCGAGGCATCCATAAACGGGCCTACACCATGTATTACACATCATACAATGAGACAACGTTGAACGTGATCGGCCTACATAAGGATGTGTAGAAGAGGACGAAGACGCAGAAGAAGAGGAAGAAGCAGTAAAAATAATGAAACCAAGCAAGGCAAGACAAGACTCCAGTGAAGCAGAAAAGGTAGCAAATTCTGGGAAGCTGCGCTGAAGTTTCGTGATTGCGTGACTTAAAAGGCGCGCTAACTATATTTGGAGACTTGCGTAGAGTTTGTAAACATGCTATTTACAAGGTTTGCTGAGGTTTCTTTGATTGAAGTGCATTTGAAAAATGTATATCATTATTTTTGGAGACCTGTGTAGACTATGCAAAAATTACGTTGTCAGCATTTGGAACGTTTGGAGACTTGCGTAGAGTTTGTAAACATGCTATTTACAAGGTTTGCTGAGGTTTGTTTGATTGAAGTGCAGTTGAAAAATGAATATCATTATTTTTGGAGACTTGCGTAGACTATGCAAAAAATACGTAGTGAGCGTATTAGAACATTTGATGCAGTCTCTTAAATAATATCAAAGGTATTCATCACAAAATGTAAAAGTTATGCTTTTGGAGACTAGTGTAGACTTTGCAAAATTGTTCATTTTGCCATGAAATGCTATTAACTGTTATTTGTCAGTTTAAATTTGAGAATATATTTCAAGAATATTTGTGGAGATTTGTGCAGACTTTGTAGATTTGACATAAAACTAAAGAAATTTACAAATAGCTTTAAGCTAAGCTTTAAGCATTACCCACGCACAAAACCCTTTTGGAGACTTGTGTCTAAATAGATTTTCTTTTACATATATACTCTAAGCCTCATTTAGTATATGTGTCGAGAAAAAATATTATCGCTCTACATACAATAACTGTTTTGTGGAGACTTCGAGTTGTCTGACTTGATTTGTAACTTTTTCGAAATGCGAATCATTACTTTATATTATATTATTGGAATAATACATACAAAGAATAGGGCAAATTGTAGACTTTTTTTTTGTAATGTGTAGAGTATGCACCGTCTTTGTAGAATTGCGAACAATTTTAAGCTTATTTGATTTATGAATTACAGAGCATTTCGGATGTGACTTATGTAGACTTGTGTAGACTTCTCACCTGTCGATTGAACGCATCCGGCATGGTGAACGTACTATGAATCCAGCAAAAGGTGTTGACCACATGCGGCGGTATGCCATTGACGATGCAGCTGATCGGCTGGCCAACATACTGGGTGGCCGTGATGATCAGGCTGCAGGTAAGCAAAAGTACAGTTGTGAAGGAGTTGTGGAGCCGGAAGACTGCATTATCCGTCTGGATGTCCTGCCATTTGAGGTAGCTCTTCAGGCTACCCAATAGCTTATACATTTTGGCACAATTTCAAATTGCTGAGTCTGTGGAGAGTGTGGAGAGTTGCGGTGGAACCGAGCTTCAGCTGAAGCGAGTATTCAAGAAAAAAAAGCCGCTTGGACAGTGTTGCAAAATGTCGCGTTGATAACAAATTGCGTTGAATTTACGGCTCGTATTGTCTCCTCGTTTTTCGTTTATAGTTGTTGTAGTGGTTGTTGTTGTTTCTGCTAATCAGACAACGCCAGCGATGCATATCAATGTATCAAACTGTAAATAGAGAAATTGGAGAGATGTTAAAAATTTGGTACTCGAATATAGAAGAATTAGAAGACTGGGAGAGAGAGACAGAGGAAGATAGAGAAAAAGAGAGACAGAGCGAATTAAGTTCAGAGATTCAGTTTCATAGCTTTATCATTTCTTGTTGTAGAAAAAAGCTTCAATTAGTACAACTTATATTTAGTAGAGTCCAGAGAACTATTGTAAGGTTTCTTATATATCTAAATATTCCGCATGGAGAATACGGCTGAAGTATGAGTAAAGTGCAACAGGTGTAAGGCTCGTAGACTCTACTGCAATCTTATGGGTTTCGATATATGGACCTACAGACGGAACTGGCTAATTAACAAGAGCGACTCTGCTCGATCGCCCTGATCAAAGAAATATATACTTTATGGGGTCTGTCACGCCTCCTTCTGACTGTTACACTAATTTTAAGAACACTATTATACCCTAATTACCCATTTTCAACGGGAAGTACAGTCGAGACCCGATAATTCAAAACGGCAAAGAGATAAAAATTTTTTCGATTTACACAGAAATTCAAATTATCCAGAATTATTTAGAACGATATTTTTTCAAGCGGATAGAATTGTTCGATTTATTGCGATTTTTGATTTAGCAAATTATCGAGACAATACTGTACCATAATCTAGGATATAGGATATAAGATAAAGGATGTAATAACAGAAATTTAGATAGGAGAAAAAAATATTGATGTACATATATACATATGTATGTATGTATATATATGCAAATTCATAACTAATATATAACATATCTCCGTATCAAATTGAGAGCTAAAGTCGTACTTTAAACATTTGTTGATGCCCAATATTTGCTATGTATATACATTTATATATAGCGGAGCTCTAATTAAATTAAAATTCCTGCTCAAATTGTCTGGGTTGCTCGTCGGCTCGTTTTTCCCTATCTAAAGAATCCCTCTTTTCCTGCCCTCCTCGCCCACACATCCGTCCGTCAGTATTGTTGTGTGTGAAGGTCGTTTAAATAACACGAGTGCTATATCTATCTACAACCTGCTCTATCTATAACTATATCTATGTCTCCATAGATATGTAGATATATATATATATAGTATTCGAGTATCTTTGGGGATCGGTACATTTAGTTTGATTGGAAAACGTGTTGCGCGCCTCTGATTGAAGTCGGCCGAAAAATGTAAATTTTTTGTTTGTTTCACGCTATCTGAAGACAAACACGCGACTTGACTTCGAGCCCCCATGGGCAGGGGGCGTGACAACGTGTATGTGTGTGTGTATGTGTGCGTGTGCTATTGTGTGATTGAGCAAGAACGTAAATCAACTAATAGAATCTGCAGACAGCTTCAATTTCAATTAAAGGCGCTGCACTGAGAGAAATGGATGCGTGCAATCATTTAAATCTATCCAATTGCCATTTGTTCCACTTGTTCGATGTCACCCTGTCCATTTCTCTCCCTCACACACCCTCTCTTTCCCCAATTGAGAGTTGAATGCACTCGACTCGATCTTTATACGCTTGACCCGATCTTCCACTTAAGTCTTTTCATTCTCATTCAAGCAGCAATCGATTGCCCAAAGCAATTGCTATTTTAATACTCTCTTCAAGATGTGCAAAAGGGGTGTATTGGCTTTTAAGTACTTTAAGTGCTGCTTTGACTGAGTAGGACTAAAAAACTTTCCTATTGACAAATATGAAATATTTTTATTTTTATTTTATTATAAGTAAAATTATCAGATGATTGCTATATGTAACTTCTCTTTTTCACTTTTCCACTAAAAAGCTCTGCAATTGTAGATGCATATTCAAATTATCATATTTAGACTTAATTTAAATCAGTTTGCATAAACTAATTCAATTATTTGATTCATTCTTCATTCTGGGTGTCAACTTAAATGGGATCAAACATTTCAGAATGTCACATAAAGCAGAATTTGAAAATTGCAAATGAATGACGCTTTGGTAGAGGCGAGACAGAAAGTGGGAGAGAGAGAGAGAAAGATAGGTTGAGAGATTTGGGAATGAGCTACAGCGATATAGCGATACAAGTTTCAGTTATATAGAACTAGAGTAAACAGAGAGAAGTGGAATGAATATAAGCTTGAAGGAGAGAGAAAGATAAACAGTTAGAGTAAGAGGAATTGAATAAAATGGGATATAATATGAGTAAATGACTTCGACAATAGGAGAGAGAGAGAGAGTGGGAGTGTGGGAGAAGGATAGATTGAAAGGTAGAAAATGAGAAAGGGAGAAAACAGATTGAGAAAGAGGGAGACAGAGAGAGCAAAGAAGCTAAAAGAGAGAAATAGAAAGGACTCTGAGGGAACGAGTAAAAGGAAGATAGCTAGATAGAGAGAGAGAGAGAGAGAGAGAGAGAGAGAGAGAGAGGGAGGGAGAGAGAACGCAGGAGAGAGAGAGAGGTGGGTTGAGAGAGAGGGAGAGAGAAGCGTAGAGGCAGAGAGAGAAAAGAATCTGGGAGAGTGAAGGATAGGAAGATAGAAAGAGTGTGAGAGAGAGCGCTTTAAAATTATGGAATCTTTGAAGAAAAACTGATTTGGATCCACATTTTAAGAGGCGACTCAAATGATCTGTTAATTGTTTCTATTTATAGAGCTAAAGTGTTTTTCGTTCCGCTGAAGCTGATAAGAAAAATGTTTGGAAGCTTTGAACTAATTTGATTTAGTGACTGCAGAAGACAACACGGAGAGAGAGAGAGAGAGAGAGAGAGAGAGAGAGAGAGAGAGAGATGATGTGTGTGTCACATTAATCTAGTATTGAGGGTATCAATTTATGGCTCCTAATGGGCATCATTTAACCCTTGTTTCGCTTTGCTTGTGCCCCCTTGCTACCTTCCCCCCACTCCACTCCTCTCGCTGCGTCCACTGTGCCACCTGTGCTCCGCTTTATATTGTGTTGCTATCTATGTATAGACATATGCGATCGTTCAGCTTATAACAAACTATTCCATTGACACCCTGCTAGTTCCGTCACACACACACGCACACTCACACGCACACTCACATACATGCATTTGCCCATGTATTTACCCCTCGATCTTCCCCTTTATTTGGCCACTGTTTTCCTGTTTATTCCATACGCTTCGCTGGCTACGGGCAAGGCGAATGCAACTGCAACAATTAACCGCAACAGGCAGCCGCAACAATGACCGCCACATACACATACACAAACACACACTCCTCGCCTCCCTCTCTCTCCCCATCCCTTTACCGTGTGCTGCAAGTGGGGCGCTTTAAATTCATTGCCAAGGCCATGGAAAGCGAGGCAAAAGTTATGTGCGAAAAATTGCAATTTCTATGCACACTTAGAGTGCACCAAAAGTAGGGGGCCGAACAGGCGTGGCAAATGGTGGGGGGTGGTAGGTGTGGTGTTGGCATGGCAGCTGTTAGTTGAACCGAGTGCAGGTGTCGCATTGCAAAGGTCGTCGGCGTCGGGCAGTATTACGTGCTTTAGACAGAATTTCAAAATCAGAAAATAAAAAAAGAATAAAAAAAAAATGTCTGCTTTAAATTAAAAGGGAAATTGTTGCATGGGGTATGCCAGACACTGGCAGGCAATATGTAACAGCAAGGAATGTGTATGATGTACAATAATAATTATATTGGCTATGCTCATTATAAATATAATTAATAATTGCGAATCTGGCCAAACTATGCTAATACTAATGCACTTTGCTAATGATAAAGCTAATACAAATGCTGGGAATAATATTAATATTCATATGCTATTAATAACTAATACTAATACTAATGCTGATACACTCTACTACTAATAATAGTAATAAAACAATGATTATTATGAATGCTGATAATAATAATGAATCTAACAAAACTAAACTGATGCTAATCATAATGCTGATAATGACAATAGTGATGCTAAGGATAATGATAATAAAAATTCAAAAAAATATATAAATTTTTGAATAACGAAGCTGATGAAGTATGCTCATGATAATTCTAATACCAATTGCTTATTCTTAATTATCCGAATAACTTTTAGACTTAGGTTAATGCTCATTTTATGATGTTAATGATAGTGACTATCAATTTGAAAATCATGATGTTGATGAGCTGTGCCTATGATGATGCCAATGACAATAACAATGATAATGCCTAGAATTGCACTAATGATCCTTGTTATTACTCTGCTTAGATTAGCTTGTTAATCATTAAGCTAATGAAGTAAACTCATAATGATTATGTAAATGGGTCTTAGTAAAACAATGATGATGATAATACTAATGGTAATATTTAATAATGATGCAAATGCTAATGAGCTATGCTCTTGATACTGCAAATTCAAATGTCAATGATAATATCAATATCAACGGGAATAAAAAGGCTAAAGCTAATCATTGCATTACAATTGAGATGCCTAGCTTGATAATAATCATGCTAATGCTAAAGAGCTAGGCTAACAAATATAATAACGATTATGATCATATATGTACGTAAATGCTAAATTTAATCAGAGTGCTAATTGAAATTGGTAACAATGATGCCAATGCTGATGAGTAATGCTATTGGTATTTCCAACGCAAGTGAAATACTTTTTTTAGTATTTAGTGTATAACTTAAGGAATCGTTGATGATGTGTTCTATGCGTCATAGATTACAAAAAATATATTTAACATTTTAATTTCATGATTTTTTTTGAATACTCTTAAAGCTTTTCTGATCAAGTGGAGCATATACATAGACTTGACTTTCATTCAAGCCTTACTTTCTATAAATAGACTAGATTTTACAGGTAATTAGCTAGTCGCTCAGTCAAAGCATTCCGAATATGCATTTGCATCGGTAATGCTTTTAGCTAACGTTGTTTATCTGTTTGTTTGTCATGCAATTAGAATGCTGAGAGCTTTACACGTTTAACCTTAACATGAATACTTTGTCAGAGTCCGAATCGAAGTTGGAGTCGAACAGACTTTTCAGTTAGTCATTCATTAAATTTGTGATGTCACAAGCTAGAAAAGCAAATTCATTCGGCTTTAATTGCATTGTTCTGCTGTTGTTTGTTGTTTGTTGTTGTTGTTATTGTTGTTGTTGTTGTTGGCCAGCTGCTTGGCCAAGCGGAAGTGCTTACCTCTCCCTCTGCCTGTCCCCCCCCCTGTTCCCACTCTATCACTATTGCTACCTGCATCTACATCTTTTTTCTCCCTCTCTGCATCCCTTTGTTTGGGTTTTCTCCCTGTCTCTCTCTCTCCCTCCCTCCCGCTCTTTTTGTCGCTTTGTTTGGCTACCTTCGATGACTCTGCAACTGGCAGATGGCAGCAAACTTCAATTGGAAAATAACGAGAGTAGCTCAAACTATTTAGCTATATTTTGCTCATGGTAAAAATGTGCATTAATCTTCCTTCTCATGCGCTTTAAGTTTCCTTAATAGGAGCTTTAACAAAGCAACAATTCCAAAAGCTTATCATATGTTATAATATACTCTACTTGAGCAAAGCTTTTACCGACGTATGTTAAGCTTTAATAAACTTTAATATATAACTTTATTTTTCATTATAATATATAAATATAAAACTACATTGCTTTCATCTTTAATCTTTACTTAAACTTTTAATAACATATAGTTTCGAAGAGCTTTTTGTCAGCTAGTTATCTGTTTTATATAAACTATATATTTCATATAAAATTACATAAAGTGAATTGTTGCACCATATAATAATTTTATCGACTTTAGTTCGAGTTTTAAACTTTTTTCTGGATTTCATTCTAAACATTTCTCATCTAATTTTCTATTATTTTACTTTAATAAAAACTTTTCTAAAATTCTCTTCAATTTATTTTATCTTGTCAATTTTCTTTTACTTTTATTAAATTGAAGCTTGACACGTTAGTTCAACATTCTCAATTAAAAATGAATAATCCCAGCTTAGCTTCCTTTATTCGAGGCTATATAATATATAACCTCAAACCTGAAAATTTTAAGCTGCGTCTCGATGAGCTACAGAAGCTCGGCTCATAAAGCACTTTGATTTATGCGCTGGGTAGAGATAAAACACACTGATGAAACTTTAAGATCTTTAATTAAAAAACCAGCTGAGCTTGGGCTGAGATTAATATATTATCGTTTTTCCAGGTACTTCATAAACTGCCCACCCCTTGCCGGCCCATCGTCCGCCCTCACTCACATGTTGGGCTCGTAAAAACCGCAGACATTAAAAAAAAAGAAGAAAAAAAAACAACACTAGTGTTAGGGAGCTGCTCAGCGAGCGGGACAATCCGAACTGTGGACGCTGCAATCGAAACAATGAGTTGCCTCTGTGCGGCTTCAATTGACCATTTCCGTTGAACAGAAAGGGGAGGGACTGAGGAGAGACTGAGGATATAGAATGGGGAGGAAGAGGCGAGAGACGAGAGCCGAGGGATCCGACAAGTGGAAGGCGGCACTAATGAGAAACATCTTTGGCTTAAAGCCGCTGCAGATGCTAAAAAGATGAAGCTCAGTGTCAAAGCAAGAGGGACAGAGAGATAGAGAGAGAGGAGAGACATGTACAAGATGTGAATAAAAACTCAGATCACTTCTTGATATTTAAAACGTGAGAGCAGCATAAAACCAAAAAGAAAAAGAAAAAAATAGAAGCTGCAGCTGAAAATTTTTCTTCAAGAATGAAAACAAAAGAACTGTGGAAAAGCAAACTTCATGAACACAAAGAAAGATATGCCAAAGGGTAGACTAATTGAGAGAAAGAAGGCAAGATAAGTGAAGAAATAATTAAGATTAATCAAACAGGGCGACACAGCCTATAGAGAGCCTAACAAAAAGCGGCTTAAAAAACATAAGAAACAAACTTTTACTGTGAAATATTACAGCCCAATAAATGGGTGAAATATTAGAAGCTTCGATTTTTACATCGATAAACTTAAGACTCCAAATTTGGAATAAGGCTAATCAAAAAAAAAAAAAAAAAAAAAAATAAAAATAAAAATAAAAAATTAATTTGCTGCTATTTTACACTAGTAAAACTAAGTTAATACAAATTAAATTTTATATTTTGATTTTAAAAATATATATATATTTCATATCAATTTTTTAAAGTATGGGTTTATTTTTTAATTTTTAATTTTTTCAATTTTTTCGAGTAAAAAAAATTAGAAAAATATGTATACTACATATATGTATTTTTATTTATTTTATTTTAATTTTTAATTTTTTGAAAATATTTAAATTTAAATCTCTAAAATTGATCAAATTGAATTCAATGTAAATATATATTCAAATAAAATATATATTTCTCTTTTCATTTTTGTTTTATTAGAAAAATATATACTTTTGAAGTCTAGGTATAATTCTTTAAAATGTCAAAGCAAAAATATATTAATATATATATATATATTTTTTTTTTAAATTTTACAGAGAAAAAAATGAGACCAAAATTTCCCATAAATAATGTATATTACATTTAAACTCAAATTTTAATAATAAAATAATAAATTGCACCCAATTGGTACGGTTAAATGTTTTACATAAGAGCAGCTTAGAGTACTGCTAATTAGAACTGTTAATCTTGAGCTTGAGCTTAACCTTTGAGAGTGCTCGCTCTCTCTCTCTTTCTGGCTCTCTCACTCACACATACATGCGCATATGCATTAAGATTGTTAATGGAAAGAAGAGGTAGATTTGTGACTTACGCGAAAAAAACAAAACGTTGAAGTCCCTTGCGTTGGTCTCTTTTAGTGTTTGCTGCTGTTGATGTTGTTGTAGTAGTGTTGTAGGTTCCGCTGAACTTTCATTGTGTGTGGCTGTTGTTGTTATTGTTGCTGTGCTGCAAAATCAGCTGCCAGCTGTGCGAGTGTTGTTGTTCTTGTTGTTGTTACTATGCAGCGAATTTGCATAAACAGCGGCGCTACATACATTCACACACATACACTCAAAGACAAAGCATCAGCAGAACAGGTTCTCCTGTAGGGTTCTTGTTGTTGCTGAAGGGCTGCTGCACTCTGTTTTATTCTTTTATATTATTATTTTATTTTGTATACACGTAGTTTTTGTTGTTGTTGCTGTTGCTGTTGCAGCTGTGCGTAAAACGCGCGCGACGCGTCGTTGCGTTGCAGTTGCTGCAGCCGAACACGCGCAACTGAAAGCCAAAATCCAAAATCAAAATGATGAAAATAAGAGCCAAATAAACGCGCGTTCTAACTGTATAGATTGTCCAGTTTCTTTGCTCACAGGAGTAATTGCAACTGTATGCACAAGAAATACAAAAAAAAAAAAAAAGTTGCAACAGGCAAAAAAAAAATAAAATAAATAATAATAATAAAATGAAGTAACAAAAACAGCGGCAAACGTAAAACAGAAGTTAAAAAAATGAAATGGAATTGTTTTGAGCTCCCTTCTTCGACTGTATTTGAGCAGAGACAAGCGTGCGCTGCTGTCGCCGTCGACTGCTGCCGCTTGCTTATCGTCGTTTCGTTTCGTACCGCTTTCGTTGCTGCTGCCTGCTGCTGCGGCCGCTACAAAAAAAATCTCACACGCGCGCGCCACGTTCACTGTTGCGCTCAAAACTGAACTGCTCAACCTGTAAGGCAACGCAACTCAACTCAGCTTCAAGCCACTCCCGGTACCGTGCACGCGGTCTCTTGTGTGCGCTCTCTTTGCGCGCACACTCTCGCACTTACGTACGCTATGCGTGCGCGTCTTGGCGGCTTGGGTCTGTGTGTGTATTGTGGCTGATGTTCAATTTGTTCTCTTTGAGTTAAGCGTTCATTCTCTCACTCTCTCATGCGCTCATATGTTGAAGACGACTGCTAGTTTGGATTTTCTTGTAAGCTTTGATTAAACTGTGCGCGCACTCAATGGCATAAATTGGAGCATGCACACAGACACAGACACGCACACACACTGACACACTGTAGCATGTACACGCACTTTTGAGCACTATTTAAGCGCAGCTGTAACGCTCTCTTGAGCCTAACTTTGTTTGAGCTGCACTCATTTACCTCAGCTTTGTCGTCGTTGGTTACAGACTTCTACTTCTGCTTGATTGCTTGACTTCTTTATACACATACAAATTTACATATATATATGTTCATATGTATGTGTGTATATACAGATATATATATACATATATAGTTTGTTTTTTGTTGTTTCGAATTTCACGTTGTGGTCTTGTTGTTGCGTTTGACTTTTTTCTCGCTTTCCTGTCTTCAATTTAAAATCACATTTCGAAAGGTAAGGTTTTCTCTTCTGCTTCTTTTTACCATTTTTTTTTTTAATTTTACCTTTTTTGGTTTGTTATAAAAATGCGGTAAGAAGAAAAACTGGTAATTTAAATGGTGTTGAATTAAATTTTTTTTCGGCAGTTCTTTTTTTGCTTTTATTAAAAGAGTAGCAGAGAGAGGAGGAAAGAGGGAAGAGGCTTTAGAGGTAAGCAAATCGACTTTGATATGCTCTATAAAAAATATAATTTTTAGCTGTTAATTTGTTATTGTCAATTTGCTGCGATAAAAAAAAAAAAAATAATAAATATTCAAGGAACATGAAAAATATCTAGCAATAAATAGAATAAAAATAAGAAAAAAAAAGAATAATAATACAATAATAAACCAGCAATTCTAAATGGAATTTAAAGTTAATAATGGTAATCCATTATATATTCAAAATGCTAATTACATTGTAAGCTAGAAGTATAAAAGTCTCTAGAATATTTGACACTTTATTCTATATAGCTTTAAATCTTTTTTGTTACACTACATCTAGTATTTGCTATACCGTTTAGCAACACTGCAATTGGAGCTAACTGTGCAGTGTTTGGATGCGTGATCTACTATATCATTCATACTAAATGCGACCCGCTCTGACAATAACGCCATCGATATTGTTGGCTCAGCTTTCATCAGTCATCAGTTCGGTTCATCAGTCATTCAATCAATATGGCTGCTCTCCGATTACAGTTAGGTTGGAGTAGTTTGCATTTAACCACATTTATGGCTACGAGCTGCGCGTGTGCAACGCGCAATTTATAGGGCTTTCTGTCTGAGTCGTCGGCGTGATACCAGTTCAAGACATGCCTGGCCCAAACGTCTGCACGCCCCGCCCCACCTACCAAATAATCCCTTGTCCCTTTTGCCCCACATGTGGTCGTATCATGCAGTGAACGCGTGTAAAACTTATTCGAGTACCCTGTAAATGTTTTTATAATCTGGAGGGTGTTAGTGGAAATGATTATGATTATGATAATAATAATAATAATAGTAATGGTAATGACAATGACAATGACAATGGCAATGACAATGACAATGACAATGGCAATGGCAATGGCAATGACAATGACAATGACAATGACAATGACAATGACAATGACAATGACAATGACAATGACAATGACAATAACAATAACAATGACAATGACAATGACAATGACAATGACAATGGCAGCTATCGATAATAAGGACAAAGACAACAATACGATAATTACATTGATAACGATATGATCATAACAATGATAATGCCTATAAAAATTACAATGCTAATGATAATGTTGATAGCTAAAGTTTTATAGGCTATTTTCTAGTCGCCCTTAATACACTTTGTTTTTGGTTTATTAATTCCAGTGCTGTCTTGTCTCCTTCTTCTTCTTCTTCTTCTGCTTCTGCTTCTTTAACATGATCGTCTTGCTGGTCTTGGCCTTTTTAATGGTCCCACCATAAACTGCGCCACTTTCGTAAAGTTGAAATAATTCAAGTGCGTTGTCATTATACCCCCAGGTCCGAACGTAAGCCCGACTTGTCTTGTGTGCTCACTGTACATACAGATGTACATACTTACGTGTCCATGTGAATGTATGTGTGCATGCGTGTATGTACTAACATACATATATCTTGCTGCGCCTTTCACTCAGCTTTGTTGTGCACGTATGCCCGTTAACCGATAAACATTTCGATAACTGTCTTTTTGCTTTGTGGGTGCACGGAGCAATGTACGTGACATTGATTAATGTGTGTGTATGAGCGTGTGTGTGCGCGTGTGTGTGCGCGTGTGTGTCTCAGTTTGTCAGTCTTCTCTTTGCATTCCATTTCGACTTGAGCCGATGCAGAACTCTATTTATGTTTGTTTTCCTGATTGAGCCTGGTGGCGTGTTGCCTTCCCCTCTCCCTCCTCTCCCTCTTCCTCTCTCTTTCGCTGTCGCTCTCCCTCTATCTCTTTGTTTGCCTTATGCTCGTCTCTTGCATATTCCACTCAAATACCCGGCTCCTTTTCACTCAATTCCCCTGCTTAGACACTTCCTTTTTATGCTTCCGCATGCAGCTTCACTGTTGTTGCCTTTGCTGCGCACCCGCCCCTCTCCAGCCCTGCTCTCTTGAGCGCATTTGCACACTCTATCGCTCTCTCCTCGTTGTGCATGCGACGTGGCAGCCTGGGCGCCGGTTTTCTTTTTTTTTTTTTTCAATTATGCACTCGCCCAAAAGTCACTAAGTGTGTAGATCAAAGTGCACAATTTTTACATATACGAGGCCGTCAGCCTGTAGCATATGCCATACATGTGCATGCATATACATACATATATGTATGTGTGTATACGAGTGTGCATGTGTATGTGTAAGTGCAACATCTGCAGACACTGTACCTCGCCTTGCTGCATCAGCCTTGCATTTCATGTTGAGCAACTTCTCCTGTAGATCGTTCCATTTGTCACGTACGCAGAAATTGCGGCCCATAATGTTGACTATCAACATATTTACCTAAAACTCGATATATCTATGTATATGGGATAGATGGTATGTAAGTATGTATGGATATGTGTGAAACCCCAGATATTGTTATCCTTTAATTAAATGTTTCAAGATAACTTATGTCCATCTTCTATCTTCTATCTCCTATTTTCCATCTCTTATCTCCTATCTTCCATCTTCTATCCCATTTTCTATCTCCCATCTTTTATCTCTTGTCTCCTATCTCCTATCTCCTATATCCTATCTCCTATCTCCTATCTCCTATCTCCTATCTCCTATCTCCTATCTCCTATCTCCTATCTCCTATCTCCTATCTCCTATCTCCTATCTCCTATCTATCTCCTATCTCCTATCTATCTCCTATCTATCTCCCTATCTATCTCCTATCTCCTATCTCCTATCTCCTATTTCCTATCTCCTATCTCCTATCTCCTATCTCCTATCTCCTATCTCCTATCTCCTATCTCCTATCTCCTATCTCCTATCTCCTATCTCCTATCTCCTATCCATCTCCCATCTGACTTCAACTTTCTGCCTTTCTTTACTTTCATCTATGTATATCTCTTGGACTATTTAAAAAACGAACTGAAATAGTTTTCAAGTGCTTAAACATATCTTGATAGTTTATAAAAGAAAAACTCAAGTATTCGAAGGCTGATGAGCTGAAAACAAACACTAATAGATGACGACTAATGCATATTGGATTCGAAATTCGAGTTATGGGAACTCCCAAACTCATGTGGGTTTTTGCTATTGATAGTCAAAGAATAAAGATTTTGTTCCTTTTATGGATCGACTGAATGATCCGGCTCAGCTCATAGGCAAAAAGTTGTTCAAGTTTGGCTTGGAATATATGATGAAATAATGATAAAAGTTTTATATATAGGTACATATACATATATAGTTTCTGTTGATTCGGTTCAAGCTGCGTTTGGGTTTTCAAAAGGCTGTCAAGCTGCTGCCATATAAATGGAGCTATCCTTAATGGAAAGTCATTAAAAATATCTTGCTTGAGCTGCAGATTGAGCAATTCTTGCACACACACACACACGTATGCACACACATAGACGCTGCATGCCACACACTGAATGCCGCATGCCGCACGTAGCGACGTATGTCCCATGCTACATAGGCCGGGCCAGTCGCTGAAGTCAAGCATAAACCATAAAGAGAAAACCTGAAGTTGGGTCGTGTGGGTTTTTTTTAAGGCTTGGCCCTGCTTTCAAGGCTGTAGGGGAGGGGAGGGGACGGGTGGGACACGGGTTGGCGTTGTGGTTGGGGGCTGCGGCAGGGAGCAGGTGGCAGGGTGCTGGCACCTAGTCGGAGCCCACCTTCCACCTTCTGGATTTTACAAACTCTGTCTGCCGATCAGATCGTTGACAATGCTTTTTCTTTTTGTGGGCAGCACGACTCGTTGTCAAGCGAGTTGGGAGTACCCAAATGCGAAATACCCTACTTTTTTTTTTGGTTTACAACGAGATCTTTCGTAAACGGACATTTTAAGTGCTAAGTCAGTTATCAAATTCGATGTCTCTAGCCTTAATTACTGAAAGTTAAATTTGTAGCGATATTTATCGATACCATAGAAATGATCACTAATGGAAAATCAATGCCATTGCTTGCATGTTTAAGCAAACAAGTTAGGCTGTCGATTATTATCGATAGTTATCTATAGCGGCTAATCGAAATGATAGATGATTGAAGTAGAAGTAGGAGAAGAAATCGGGCTTCGATTCGGAGCTTGGTAATAATAATGAATGATCATTGTCACCGAAACTGCCTTCACCTGTCTGTTATATAAATAAACTTTAGGATATTGAACTCTATTTTTGCATAAG